CAGCGTGGGGCAGAGTCAGAACCGTCTGCGTCCGCACAAGGACAAAGAGCCACCTCGTCATGTCCGGACCCCTGTGTCCCCTCGTCCCCGGGCCAGGTGGGCAAGAGCTGTGTGCCGCTCCCTCCCAGCACCGAAGCAGTGACTGGTTCCCTGTAAAACTTGCGGCTCTCTGCTGGGTAATGACAAATGACCAAAAATCAATTTGTAATCTGATTGGAGGTTTCTGATTTCCTCTGATGAGTTTAAATTTCATTAAAAGCAACCCTATTCCGACATAAAAGGAATCCTTGAAGGGTAAAACGGGGGATTGTCTCACCGAGTATAAAGCATCCCAGCTCCTTTGTGTGATTTATTCATGGCGTTAATTGTGAGGTCCAACCTGAGGTGTCGTGGGCAGACGCGTTGTTATCAGGGCCTGGGATCGGCCGGGCCAGCTCGGAGCACAAGGACTCACATTCAAAATTGCTCTTTGACGTATACTGACACTTGAGTTATCAACACCCTTATTATCTGCTGGGAGGGAGATGGCAGCTCGGAGGGCCAGAATAAGCCACAAATCACGGTGGCGGCTGCCTCTCTGCATTCTCTTAATTGTATGTATTCTCTGGAAAAATGATCATCGGGACTCTTGTCTTGATGAGAAATTGACATTTTCTGAGGACTTCTTTGGGCGCTGGGAGTGAGGGAGATAAGGCGTGGGGTTGTTTTTAAGGGGGGCAGCCTTTATTTCCTTTCAGGGGCCTCTTTATTGCTCTTGTTGACCCACTTGATGAGTATGGATTTCATGAGGTCTTTTTCAGCATTTGAACTATAAAAGGTGCGGAATGACACCACCCCTTATAGACAAAAGATAACCTTGCCCTTTGAATATATCGATTCTTTATTAACCAGGCTGTTTAATGCAATGAAATGAGGCATTAGATTGAAGCCCATTTCGAGTGCTTTGAATAATCTTTAAAAGCTTGAAAGACCTTCAAAGGCAGCCTGACAATAATTGGCATACATTTTGAGAGAATCCAGTACTTGCTGCGGATTTGAGACACGAAGATAAAATAATTTCTCTCTCCCTGAGTTACAGGGCCCTGGCACAGGAGCTGCAGGAAGGCGCCCCCTGCCCCTCACCCCCCATGGCTGAGCATTCCTGGCAGCAGCTCGGCGAGGCAGGGGAGGAGATAGGTTGTCAGCAACACCTCCCCTACCCCGTCCCTCGGCTCCTTGAAGGAGGGGAGAGGGGAGTGGGCAGACCACGGACTTGGGCCCCATGAGCCTCCCACTCTGCTGTCTCTTTAAGGCTGATACAAGCGTGCACACTCAAAGGAACCTGATTGTCATTGACGGGAAAAAAAGGTATTCACAAGTTTCTTTATGTTTTGAATAATTGTTTCCTGTTTTGCTCAGCAGAACAAGTAATTAAGATGACATTTGTGAGTACTAATTTGGATCACACTTATGTGTATGTGTTATAGAGCTGCAAGCCAAAACATGCAAAACCAGCCTTTCATTGAGGAGAAAATGAGAAATACCAACTGGAATGGAATGGGGGCGGGCACTGAGAGAGAACTCGCAGGAGCTGAACATCCGCTGTGTAAATTGGAACCTCAGGCTTGTGGCAGCTCCTATTACAGCCGCTGCGTTGGACGTCGGGCTACATGTACGTACAGCCAATGGCAGCGGCACGTGTGCGGCCTGCTGTGCCGTCGTGGTGGGTCTGGAGTTGGTGATGGCAAGCCTCATGCCAGACCTCAGCCAGCACCAGTATCTGGGTGCCTTGGCGTCTGCCTGCTTGTCCAGAGCCTTTGCTGATGCAATTTCCTAAGGCTGGTTCTTGCCTAATCAGAACACAATGAGTGGGATAGAAGGAGCACATGTACAGGGAAGCTGGGGCAGTTGCTGCCTACCTGCCAAACCCTCCAGACCAGAAGCAGGGAGGCTGGGGCTAGAGGGCTGGTGGGGTTGCTTACCAAGCCCCTGCAGAACCTCTGGGTTCTATTCTCAAAGACCAGTGGTCAAACGGTGATTGTGGCATCCCGTGAGTCGGACACAGAGGGAAAACCATACAGATGCACGGGTGTGAGTACAACATACGTACACATGGTGCACCTGGGACTCAGCGCCCATTTCAGCCATGGCTGACTCCGGGCAGGCTAGGGAAGTGTTTGAGGATCGATAACTTTGTGGAGAGTCACTCCACGAATCCCTTTTATCTCGGCCACAACACAGCTCTGGAACGCACGGTGGACAAAAGAAACCCCCATTGTAACTCTGGTGTGTGTGTTTCGTCAGCCATTTTAATAATCAAAACAGATAAAATTACTAAAAGTGAAATTCACAGACAAGAAATACTTTAATTAAATATTGTGTAAAATGAACATTTTTATACAGTTAAATATCTGAAAAAATGTACAGATAAAACAATCTTATTGTAGGGTCTTTAACAGTAAAATCTACCATTTAGTGAAGTGCTCAGTTCAGAGACGATGAAGCAATGTGGGCACTGACCAATTAATCTAAAACACAAACCAAGTGCAGGTATGAAGAAACTTGCAAACGTTCGTAACACGGTACACGTGAGCTCTTTTTTTTAAGATCAAAACCCATACTTGTACAAAATAAAATGGAGGCAATTTAGTTCCAAAGTGACTTCTCAGGCTTTTCCACGTAGCTAAGCCTTGTCAGAGTCACCAAGCTGGAGTGTGACCCGCTGACCACTGGGAATGTTATTTAGTGAGTCCCTTGAATGAACACTTTCTTAAATTGTGCATTTTTTTTCGTTGTTAAGGAAGTTTTTAAAAAAGTCCCTCCTTTTTGTTTTAAAGGTGATTTCTGCTGCAGTTTGCAAAATGTTCACTGTGCTGTGTCTGTAAAGCATTTAGTGCAAAGGAGAAAACAGAAACCAAAAGGGACCCTTCGGCCTCACTGCGGATTTGGCACTAACAGGCACAGTATGGGAAGGCCGTTCCAGTTTAAGAAGTAGAGACAGTGCTGTTGGGTCTGAGTGTTTAAAAGAAAAAGGAAAACCAGCAGTGATTTGGGTTCGCCCTGGAACCTCCCCGAACCCAAGATGGGTGGGAGGATGCAGGGTGCAGCAGAAGGGAGGGGCACATGGAAGAAAAGGTTTGTGCTTTTGTACACTGTAAATCTCCAAACGAAATCCTGACTAACAGTTGTGGTGTAAGCCTGTGATAAAACAGCACAAAGGTTCTTCAAAGAAGTCCGCTTTTAAGGCATCAGAGAAGTTAATGTGGCAAACATTTTAATTAAAACGTCAGAAGGAAATTTTATTTTAAGCTTTAGGCCTCTGAATTTTTCCAGTAAACACAATTCAGCTATGTGGCAAAGTCATGGGTGGCAGCTAAAATGACTTTTTTACATTCTACAAAAATAAAATAAAATAAAATAAAAAAGGACACAGCCCCCAACGGTACCGCCTCCTCGCGGCTCTTCCACATGCAGGAAGGGACTCTGTTGGGACCGTCACCGCCGGGTGGACCGTTTCGTTTTGACTATACAACAAACTTTTTTTCCCCCCACAATTATTTGTTCAGATAACTTAAAAAATAATATAAAAATAATGAATTTGACTTTTCCTCAAAATAAAAAAAAAGCATCATGCCCACGGACGAGCAAACAACAATGAACACACAGCCAGCCTGCTCAGACATAGACAAATAAAAAAAAAAAAAAAAAACAGGATGGAAAGTCTAAACAATAGCAAGCGTTTGAAGTACAAATGAAATATAAGGACACAGGTTTGTTTGAACAAAACAGAAAAAAAGAGACAGCGCTTGGCTTTACGTTCTTCTCAGCATCACAACACCAGGCCAGACGAGAAAAAGAAAACACAAACGGCAGCGGGAAAAGCAATGTACAAAATCTCAAAGATAAATACAATATTTATAATTGATATGTTACAAAATAAAGTTCCTTAGCAACTGCGGGTGTTCGTGGGAAGGTAACGGGGACCGTTTTATTCCTTAGAAGACACATAAGGAATAAAACTTGGTCTTCTAAATATTTAAGTGGATCTGAAAAAAATTCAAGACAAGTGTATAAATATTTAGCTACAACTTTGGCAAAATCACAAAAGTCTACAATTTTATAACCACATACAAAACACATTAGGGAAGTAGGATCTAGACGTCAAAAGGACAATTTTCTGGTACAAGAAACATAGACCTCACAGTAGCCTAGAACGCAATCATATACAGTGCTAGCAAAAGTTGAAAAAATGTTGCAGATCACATTTGCGTAACAGGAAGCTCTAGCAGCGGGAGAATATTTTAACCAACAGACAGTAGCATTTTTTCTGTCAGTGTGCTTGTTGAAGGCAAGAGAATTCAATATCAAAGTTACAATTTCTAACTACAATAAGTTACAAAGTCTCATTTCATTAAGATGAAGTTAAGCAACGATAAACCCTCCCTCCCTCCCGGCCTCCCCAGATTCTCCTAATCATATAGTCAACCTTTTTTTTTTTTTTTTTTCCCCCAGTCTGATGGATCATACCTCCTTGGCCCCCTTTTTTCACCACAAAAAAATATTTCACATTATAGAGATACACAACCATTGTGAATCTAAGTATGAGTACAGAAAGATGTTTGGAGGCATTTTTCATCAGTGTTCATGAGAATCAAAACGAGGCATTCACAAAGTTTCTCCCAACACATAGCAAGTACTAGACATAGCCAAGACGGAATCAGAAACTTTATACAAAATAGGCATCGCTTTGTTTTCCTTGTTCTTCAGGACTGAGAAATGTGAAAATATGAGAAACGTTCAGTCAATAAAATGGAATTGTTCATGAAGAAGTAGGTTGTTTGCAGGTTGATTGGTAACAGTTTAAATAAAATCTTTAAACAAAGTCTTTTGTAGCATCTCAATTGCTGTTGCTGATTTATTTTGAAGATACTGTTTCCATCAGCATGTCTGATTATACTAAACGTGTCCCCTGAAGCCCATCCTTGGATGCTTGGTGCTACGGCAGATAAACAAAAGTGGCCTTACATTGGAGGGACTACCAGCCCAGACATAGCTGAAAGAGAGAGAGAAAGGTTGTCAGTGCGGGGACCTAGCTCCCCCACCTTCTCTAAGGCAGGTCGGGCAAAGCCTTCGCTTTGGGTTCGAGTCAACAGTGGGCCTGGTTTTGCACAGTTCTCATTAACCAGCCTTGGACATGGTTAAGACACGGTGGCAAGTCTACCTCACAGAGGGGGTGCCCGTGGAAACAAAATCACCCCAGTCCCTTCATCTGGGAAAGGGAAAGGCTGCTGGCATTTTTGTGGGCGAATGTTTCTGCTTCCCACGTCTCAGCATTTTGTTCACAGCAGACAGACTCCCCGGGGCCACCTCTGTCGACAGATGAGAACCAGCGTGGCCACTTGTGTGACGCCAGCCAGAGCCAGCTCACCCCTGACGGGACCCAGGCCCTGACCTGGCTTCCTGCGTGAAAACTGGCCTTGCCTCAGCTTCCTCCTCCACGACCAGGCCTCAACTCTATTAATGGCCGTACTGACGGCTCTCTGTTGTAATGGTGAGCGCTGACTCACAGCTCTTGAGATCAAAGCCACGCACGGCCACCTGCTCTGGCCTCTCAAGGCAGACGGCCAGGCAGACACAGGGGTGGAATCTCTCCGCGCCAGCTCTTTGTTTTTCTGCTTTAAGAATAAAAGCAAAAAGTTTGCGCTACAACGCCCAGAGCGGGCGGCGCTGCCGAGAGAGCTCCTGGTAGGAACGTAATTTAAAATCTTTTCACTTTACTGTTGTTTAATTTTTGTCAAAATGATCGTTCTCATTAATTTATGGATAACATGTTAATAAATTTGTTCATGTAGTGATGTGAGCTTCAATTTCTCAGTTCATTAATCTCAACAATATTAATTTATCTCAGACTCACCGTTACAACTTTATGGTTTGGAAGGCCTGTGTATGTACACATTGCTTATATGGAGTGCCGTCCCTCAGAGCGGCCTCAACGCGGGACTCACAGCAGGCGGGCCCGCCGAGCCGCACACCCCGCCTTTAAGGCGATGCCGGGCGGGTGACCGACACCCGGCCGCACCCGGGGCCCAGGCATCCTCTCAGGTACTAGCAGGTGTTGTGAAGACAATGATTTTAATCATCGATACCTTTCCGGGTCCTTTTTTGAGCATTAGTTCATCAAAGTGAAACGGGCCACCGACTCCACCAAAGGGCCCGTTTGTCCTCTCCACGATTGCGTCCTCAGCACCCAGCCGAGAGCCTGGCACACAGCAGGTGCGCAGTAAGTACCGGTGGAATGCAGTCACGTTTTAAGGAGCAACTGGTTTGGATTCTGGGGAGTCCCCGGGTGGTGCAAGTGGTTAATGCGCTCAGCTGCTAATCGAAAGGCTGGAGGTTCGAGTCCACCCAGAAGTGCCTCGGAAGAAAGGCCTGGTGATCTACTTCCCAAAAATCAGCCACTGAAAACCCTACGGAGCAGTTCTACTCTGACACACACAGGGTCTCCGTGAGTCAGCGTCGACTCGACGGCAACTGGTTGGGTGGAATTTTCACTGCAGGGAGCACAAACCAGAGATGGGGTCTGACAGAGGCCGGATAACGGCCACTTAGCATAAGGGCCTACGTCAGTCACCGGGGCTGTGTGCGTGGGGAGGCCCGGGGCCCTCACATCACAGGCCACACATGGCCTGCACCCCAGGGGTACCGGGCACAGGCAGGCGCTGGTGTCTACTCCATGTGGCCCCTTCCGTGGGTGGTGCACCAGGCGATGTCTCCCACTCCCCCGAGGCTAGCCCTCTGCCTCCTTCTGAGCCTGGAGGCCGATCACTTAGAAAAATTACCCCGTGCTCGGACAGAACTGCAGCCCAGCACGTGTGCACGGCCAGCCCTGGGCCCAGGCACACACTCCTCCATGGGTGACCTGTCTCCCTTGGGCCCTGGGAATGAAGGCTCGGCCTCCGGGTGGGGGGAGCTCCCTGGTGGGACAGCTCCGCAGGCGGCCCGGTGACCCACCCTCCGCGTCTGCGGCCCTCTGCACTGTCTCGTGAATACAGGCTGCTGGCCAGGGCTAGGGCCGTGGGCTCCCCCGCTCCCTCGTGGGGCACCGGGCTCAGTGAAGGCCCCCTTGCAGAAACCCCCACCCCATTTCCGTTCCCACAGGGTCCTCCCCTTAGGATAAGGATGCTCGACCATGAAGACTCGTCACAGCGGAAGGAGGAGGAAACGGCTCTCACGAGTCGAGCAGAAACCAGGAGGTGGCGTCTGGTACTCGTGGGGGCCGAAGGATGGGTGCGGCGTACGTGAACACGGGCCGGGGTGTCACAGCATGTGGGACACAGGGGGGCATGCAGCGGCATGAGAGGTCGAGGGGTCTGAGAATGCACCCAAAGGAGCCGTGGAGCTCCCAGCCCCGGAGAGAACCTGGTCTCCGCCCCGCCACCCCCCGCCCCGGGCCAGCCTGGCTGCCTCCGGGGACCCTCGGGAGCGTCTCGCCCGGGGCTCCGGGCCTGGGACGCAGCTTCCTCACCTTGGAGCCCGTTTCCGTTGGTGCTGGTGCAGGAGGGAGGAGGAGAGGCTTGGGGCCGGACCACGGGCGCGAAGGCGCTCTTTTGTTTCACTGCGGAGATGACATTGGCAGGTGAAAATGAGAAAATGCCGTGCGCACCGCTACAGTTTGGAGGGAGGGCGACCGAAGAGGCTGCCATGGTAGGGCTGGACGGCACTACTGCAACAGAGCAAACACGGTCAGGACGCGCGGCGCCCGGACACACACAGGCGGGCGCGGGCGAGCCCGCCCGCACCGCCGCGGGGGCACACAACAGACATGACACGTCCCTGGCTGGGCCACTCTCTGGATAACGGGCAAACTCTTTGGTGTTGGACCTTCTTTCCAATTGAGCAGCCCAATCGGGGTTCAGTTTTTGGTTTCGTTTTCGGTGTGACCGCATGGGGGCCACACCAGGCCAATTGGACGGGTGTCGTCAGGACGCCCAGCCTCCAGAGTCACCCTCCTTTATCCAGTAGCTCACATCACAGGACATCCAAGCAACGCACACACTTGACTTTGTGGTGAATATGAATCTGCGTGATGACGCGTGACAAAAACAGACACTTACTGCCGTAGGGAGAGTTAGCGGAGGAGCCATTAAGAAATCCAGGCGAGCCAGGGACCCCTAGATTGGCCATGCCGCCACTTCCATATCCATTCATGCTAGTGCTGACTGTGTTGTAATTGGACTGCTGGGGAGTACTGCTGGGGACGTAGCCTCGCGGGGACACGCTGCTTGTATTGCGACTGTAGCCGACTGTTAAAATCCCCCCCCCGGCCAAAAATAACGTTATTATCAGCGATCGACACTTGGGGGGGGAGTTTCCCCGCAAATCTACACCATATATTAAACCCTTTTAATTGACCTGACACGCTGCTCCAGCCCCAGCACTCTAGCCGGCTACGGTAACCTTATCACGCAGACCCTGCTGCCGCCCGCGCGTGTGCAAGCCCTGCTCCGTCTCTGTCGGCCTCGACAGCCAACCGGGGCACGCTTCGATCTAACCATCAGCTGCTCTCCCGGTTCTCTTTAGAAGCAATTACCAACAGCTCGGATCCCGGGCCTGTCCCACCACGCTCCGTGCACTCTCGGCCTCTGCCGGCCTTCAAATGCCACGGCTGACAAGCAGAGCTTGTTTGTGGTGGTAACTTTCCCAGAAGGGCTGTTTGGGGGGGGTCTTCATTTTATGGTTGCTATTTCTGTAGGCGGGGGGGTGGGGAGGAGGTTTCATTCCTGCCACGGGCGTGGGGCAAATGGAAGCAACAACAGCACCACAGTTTGGGGTGTTCTCTGAGGTTACTACCTGCGTGGTTTGCAAACAGGAAAACTAGAGTGGACCGCGAGCGCTGGCTCAAGAAACAAGGTACAGGGACCGTCGGCGGGCCTGGCGCTGTGCTACGGGGGAAGGGGCAGGTGGGGAACACACTGTAGGGAGTTCTGCCCCACTTATCCCTTCCAGACTTAGACCCCAAACCCCACCCAGGTAATGTGTCTAAGAGGGCTCCCCACCTCATGCTATCCTATGACCTCTCCCAGCCTGTTAGGGAAATCAGCGTCACCTATAAATAAATTGAAGGAAGCTTCTGACAAACACCAGTAACAGAGGGGCAGCCAATGCTGCTGCTATGATTAGTTGCTGGCTTCTCTGAGCTGTCTCTCCCAAAGCTCACTCAGAGGCGCTCCTGTGACGACCTCCCTGAGATGGGCAAGGCCAGGAGAGAGAGGGGCACGCTCCTGCAGTTCCCAGGCTGCCCTCGCCCCACGCACCACTTCAGCTAAGGCCTTAACCAGCGCAGAAAGGGGTCTATGGAAGGGGCCGGTCCACCCATGGTGCCGCCTACCTTGGTCGTTGGCTTGCGATGTCTCGGAGACGTTGACGGCTAGCTGGCTGCTGAAGGAGTTTACACCCATCATGCCGGTGTGGGCGGGGGTGTTGCCCAGGGTGGGGATCTGGTTGTGGTTGCGGGGGACGCTGTACAAGGCTTCCGCGATGTCCGCCGCTCGCTTCAAGATGATCTCCTAAAGCCGGGGCAGGATGCCGGTCACAGGAGGCCAGGCTCAGCTGGCCCCCTTTCCTAGGCGCCCAGACCCTGGGCAAGGAGCACAGCTCTAGGGGCTTGGGGGGTCCCCCACCCACCTTACCCATTGCCCACTGCCATCGAGTCGATTCTCACTCCTAGCGACCCTGCAGGACAGAGCAGAACTGCCCCATAGGGTTTCTAAGGCTGTAAATCTTTATGGAAGCAGACTGCCACATCTTTCTCCCAACGAGCGGCTAGTGGGTTCGAACCACCAACCTTTCAGTTAGCAACAGAGTACTTTAACCACTGCACCACCAGGCCTCCTCCACCCACCTCAACTCCCTGGGAAAATGGCAGCAGCATTCGACGTGGCGCATCCTTGATGCACACTGAGAACTTGATCTTTTAATGGAAAAGAACCTCCCTTAGGAAAACAATCTAAAGACCCTTCTA